AGAATTACATAAATGTGCATAAGACACTTAAATGTAATTTGTTGGAATTAATTTGCATAAGAATTAAAATTGTTACAACTAATTGATAAATTTATTGAGAGTATTTAATTTTTATTTTTTAATAAATAAATTAAAAAGTCAAAAGTCAAAAAATTAGATGACACATGGCAGGCTCTTGTAACTTTGGTTTTGAGAAACCTTAAAATATTATATTAGATATGACATATGTCAATCCACTTAAGATCAATTAATTTTGAATTAAAAGACTATGAATTTTTATTTTAATATCAGCCTTGCCACAAACAGGCCCAACCTACGATATTGATCTAAAACATATACGATATAAAATTTGTCTGGTCATCAATTCCTATGAAAATATTGACAATACGAAAAAACGACATGAAGATGATAACCAGAAAAAACAGAGTGATAAAGCTCACACCAAACCTGAAAATGAAGAGTCATACATCATCATCTAAAAGACACAAAGCATCAAATTTGTTAATGCTCTCAAATGTACGAGGATCTTGTTTCTGGTGATGTTCTTCTTTAGATGATGTTGATGTGCTAATGGGTTTATGCTTTTGTTCTGGTGGGCTTATAGTAGGTATTGCATTTGCATTTATAATATCAAACTTAAGATCCTCTACATGGTCTACAAAGATGACACTCTATTCTGACTGTCTAACACTTGATTGTTACCATGGATTTCAACAGTTTGCAGAGTGTTTCTTTCGGGATTGAAGTAGAAAACATAAAACGATTTAGATGCATGATTTGGCCGATTGAAGTAGTAAATCCACAAAACAATTTCACCTGTAGATGTTACTCCATCAACCAAAACAATGTGGTCCTCAGCCGCTGTATACTCTGGAACAGTGGGCATATTTCGACCATTCCAGTTTCTCAACATGCTCTAAAACCCACATACTCAACTTAACGACATGACGACCACATTCTTCGCAACTAATCACACCTAATTTACCCTTATAGTTTACCAATGTAGACCAATAATTAAGACATTGCGTGAAGACACATTTTAACATTCATAGAGACATTGCTCAGCCAACCTCATCTCTGATCAAGCTAATTGACAAGAACGTGAAGAATCGAATCAACTCAATTCGAAACTCCGGAGAATACACATATACGAACGCTATGGAGTAGTGGTTCTTGACCCGATCGTAGCTCATATCCATGATCTGATTAAATTTTTGTTCTTTTAAATATTCAACAAAAGACACATTTACTGTGTTTGATTGAATAAATTTAAGGGATTTTTTGAAAAATACCCTAACTATATTTGAGAATTTGACAAATACACTCTTTTATATTTTATTTTGAAAACTTACTCTTCTACTATTTGAAAAGTCTTTTTTATCTTCATTTTAATTTGATTTGAA